GGCACCGACGCCCTCCGCATGGCCCTGTGCTCCCACAACGTCCACGGTAAGGGATGGAGGGAAGGCCGGGACCCCGCCGCACCCCGGGGTGGCCCTGGCCCAGCCCTGGGGACCCCCCCCTTTGCGTCCCCAGGTGACGACGTCCGCCTGGACGTGGGGACGGCCCTCAGCTACCGTCACTTCTGCAACAAGATCTGGAACGCCGTCAAGTTCGTCCTCGCCGCTCTGGGGCCGCGTTTCGTCCCCCAGCCCCCCGAGGAGGTACCAGGGTGGGGTGGTGGAGGTCAGGGTGGGGGTCCAGCGCCTCGGGACCCCCCACCCATCACCCTTCCTCCTCCTCTTCCTCGGCAGACGGTGCCGCAGCACCCCATGGACCGCTGGGTGCTGAGCCGGCTGGCGCAGGCGGTGGGCGAGTGCGGGCGGCGGATGGAGGCCCTGGAGGTCCACGGCGCCGTCGCCGCCGTCCACCATTTCTGGTTGCGCAGCTTCTGCGACGTCTACCTGGTGGGTGGCCCCGTCCGTCTGTCCTGCGTGGTCCCATCTGTCTGTCCTGCTCGGCCCCTTGCCTCTCCCCTGGGTGTTAAGCCCAGTCGTATCCCACTGAGTGCGTCCGCCTGTCTGTCCCACCCAACCCGTTGTAGCTCCTTGGCCGTTAAACCCAACCCATCTCGGTGTGGTTGATGGTGTCCGTCTGTCCATCCGCCCCAATCCATCAGCTCTCCTTGAGCGCTGACCTTAGTCTGCTCCCTTGAGTGCGTCTGTCCATCTGTCCCACCCCACCTGTTGAACGTTGAGCCCAACCCATCCCGTGGTTGACCCCATCCGTCTGTCCGTCCCTCTTGTCGCATCCTCTTGGGTCTCAACCTTTGTCCACCCTCACCCTGTTGACCACGTCCGTCTGTCCGTCCATCCATCCATCCATCTCCTCCAACGCTCCCCCTCTCCTTGCTCAACTGCGTCCGTCCGTCCATCTCACCCAAACCGCGTTGCCTCCTTGACCGTTTCCCCCCCCTCTCTAACCCCCGCCGTCCGTCTGTCCGTCCGCAGGAGACGGCCAAACCCGCCCTACGGGATCCGGCAGGCGCAGGCGAGAAGGGCCGGGGCCCGCCGGGCTGGG